ATTTTATTAAAATGAATTTGTATTGGCAATTGTACATAAAAGATTTTTTTCATAATTTGTAAATAGACATAAAGACACGAATAAGAAATATTTCAATTTCCGATTGCTTTCTCTATGATAAACACTACGAAAGTGAATCTTGTTAATTTCTCCATGATTCCTGTGGCATGTAAATTTCTCTATTGTAATTCTATTGAAAGGTCAAATGTCAACCTGCAAGCATATATATATATATATATATATATATATATATATATATATATATATATATATATATATATATATATATATATATATATATATATATATATATCACTGGCGTATTAATACAGTACGCTACGCTGTCCACTATCACAGAGGCCTTGCGAGACCGAGAACTCCACTTCAGTAAACATGGTAAACAGCCCATCTGAACCACGTGGAGAAATCGGTATTGCCACATATATCTGATACAGACATCGTCCCTCAACGCAACTTCCTTCCGGCGGCAACAATTTTTTTTAAAAAGTTATTTTTAGCATATATGTTACAGTGAAGGTCACAAGGCCATTGACCTTTATGTCATTTTAAAGAACGTGATTAGTAAAGTATGGATATTAAATATATAATCTCTATCTCTCATGGTTAAAAAATTATGGCAAAGGTACGAAAAAAAATATTTTTAGCATACAGGTTACAGTTAAGATCACAAGGTCATTGACCTTGGTGTCATGTGATAGAGCTGAATTAGTGGAGTTTGTATACCAAATAGTCTCTATCATTCATTGGTTCAAAAGTTATAGGGAAGGTTAAAGTTCGCAGATAAAAATCTATTTTTAGCATATAGGTCAAAGTCGATGTCTCAAGGCCATTGACCTTGGTGTCATTTGAAAGAACTTGATTAGTGGAGTATGCATTCCAAATATAAAGTCTCTATCTTTTATGATTCAAAAGTTATGGCGAAGGTTAAAGTTGCAAACAAAAAAACAAACAGACAGACAGGACAAAAAAAAATATAAGCCCCGGATCAATCAATCAGGGCGCATTAAAATGAAAATATAAGGAATCAATGTCTAGTTAAGAGACTATGCCAGGGACATCAACAATAGTAGAACACATGGGATAATTTTAGCATAACGGGTTAATTACCTCTTGTTTCCCACTTTTGTTGATGCCCTGGCATAGTCTCCTAACTAGACAGTGATTCCTTGAAGAAATAAAGCTAAAGAAAGCTTTCATTAAATACTGTATACATGTAATGTTCATTTCATTGATTCTATCTAACTACTGTCTAACCTGTACGTCCATGTCACAGTTATCTTGCTTGTTAATATACTTTTTCCCCATCTAAGCATAATTATCCCTCGCTTTCCTTGAAAGTAGGGTATAATAATATCTGCCTGTCTGTATAGCTGTTTGTATGATAGACTTTCAATTTACGGGAATACCAGAGAATGGTGCATTGGATATAGTGTTTAATCTGGGTTCGCAGGGTATGTAAGGAACTGAAACAGACCCTTTACTGCTCAACGGCCTTCAGTAAAGCTATTATACATTTGTAGGTAAACACCGCCAAGTGGAGGATTCCCCAAATAAGTGGAAAAACTCTCGAGAGGGAATAAAAAAACATTCAAGGAATATATTCACAAATCGCTGCCCACAGATCAGTGCACGGGTCCGCCCAGAAGGTCACTTGGCCATTGTAAATATAAAGAAAAACACAAGTTCCAGATCGAACTTCAATTGGATATTGAGACAGAAAGCTCGAATCAATCTGTTTCCCATTATTCCAGTAGAAAATGCTTTTACCCAAAGCTTGCGTTTGTGCTGCATCATATGTTGCACCGATCCAGAAGTGTGTGTAAGGTTGTTCAGCAACTTCAAAAGACAAAAGTAAATTCATAATCTTTTATTGCAAAAAAGAAATATTCGTCTTCTTCTATCAAATTCCTAGCACTGAATTATGTATCGACAGTTGCTTCCTTTGATTTAACTTTATTTGGTAAATCATGTAAGAAGATTTTTATTTAAACACAGTGGGGAAAATGTAACCCCCACCCCATCCCCCGAAACAGATAATGTTGTGTACTAAATGATCAAATAATGTGTTTGAGTGTATATGTTTGATTCAGAGAGAGAGAGAGAGAGAGAGAGAGAGAGAGAGAGAGAGAGAGAGACTAACCTATTGATAGCGCAGCTTCCACTTTGCTTTTTGTATCCAACACTGCTAGTCTTATTTTTCCGTCCTTCGAATTACAGGTATCATTAGCCTGGTACCAAGTAAGAGATTCGGCGCGGGGTGCAAGGCAAAAGTAGAGAGTTGTGTTAAATTTGTAATTATCGGGGCAACGACCTGAAAATTTTAAAAAATATCATAAAGCGGTAAATCTGTAATGATTGCAAATATATAAAAATCTCCTGTCTGCAGAAAGCGTTCAATAAACATATTGTTACTTTTTTACCATTTGGAATACAGAATGTTTTTCCATTACTCAAAACGGTGCACTGTCCTTCACATAAAGTTGAATTACAAAACCCGGCTAGCTCCTGAAAATAAGTTTAATATTCATCATCATATTGATGCGTATACAAAAGTAAAACACGTCTACTGTTATATATTTCATGTTTGTAAAATTTATATCAAATAAACTTTTGATTACAATACTGTAAATTAAACTAAACTAAATTAATGCATTGTTAAACTAAAAGTACACTAATGTAGGGATTATACCATTGAATACCAGAAGAAAACGAAACAGTACAAACCGTAGACTGATTCTCCATTTCAATATAGTCATATTCTGTATCCAGGACTATAGAAGATTCGGAGTCACCATACTTTGCTGCAGTAAGTTCACAATCGAGTTGCTGCCTTCGATAATTAACAGATTTGCAATCACCATTCTGTAAACATTTTCGAATGCACTGCTTCTGTCCTATGATATTTAAAACCTTTATAACATGGATAGTTTTGAGTTGATGACCATAGACCGTCACTTTAATCTTGTTAACGATATCAGTTTGTTTCATTGCGGCAAATTGCATTAAACACATCAAAAAACTGAACTCAAATCCAAACATTACAGAAGGTTGATGGTACAGTATGTAATAACTGTTGTATTAATTGCTTTGATTATGATATCAGAAGTAGAAAAATTTCCATATGGTATTTTTTTATCAAAGAATTGTTACTGTATAGGAGTGTGAAAAAAAGAGCTTCAAGCATGCGTACTTGAAACTGCTTCCTTTTATTAAAGGAAACTTTCTTATCTATACAAGCTATACAGTTTAAATAAATAATTTACTGAATGATTTCTTTTAAGGACAGAATGCTACCTTATTTTTTATGCAAATTTCTCGGTGGTTTAAATGTATTACAGATTTCACTTTAGATAATGAATCTGAATCGGAAAAGTTTCAATATTTATATTGCTTAAAATTGACTTTTTACAAACCATTTAAAACAACTCTGCCTATCTTATATTAATGCAGATTTTATTCTACTTTAACAGTGTTTAAGTGTAGTGTAATACATTAGGGGAAAAGAAATTAAAATGAATAAGTGATTTAAACAATTAATTATTCATAATGTTCCCAAATTTGAGGTTAGTGACTTCTAGATAAAATGGAATAAAATGCTTATTTGGAAGTCAACCATTATCGTACCCTCAATTCGTTGATTTGTAGCGCTCCATCTATATAGTTACATATTATTTTTCAATTATTCAAATTAACTGACCTGACCGATTTCTGTATTATACATGTCAAAATTGAATAAATTTAAAATGTATACTTAAACTTCAAACATTTTGAGTAAATTATTCTGATTTGTGATGATTTATTCTAATGGAAGTCATATGCTATATGAATCAGTTAGCAGTATACACATTTTAATTAGATTTGCAATGTAGTTTTGAAATTCATTATCATTTCCTCTGAATAATTAAAAAGTTACAATGACTGAGTGTCAGTGAGTGACCTTGGTGCATTTATATGATTATGATAAAATTAAATTTTTGAGAAACACCTACAGACCCTGTCCCCTACTTTCTTTTTTTTAAAAAATGCAATGCCTTTTATCATTAATTTTGTTATCCGTTCAAATATTCTGGAAAAAACATGCCTATTTGTTGTCTTCATATAGAGAATATGTTAAACAAAAACAATATTCGTAAAATTAAAAATAGAAAAGGTAAATTTTTAACAACATGTCAATGTATGTTGTTGATGTCAAGTGCAGTTCAATATGCACTGAAATTTCAAAAGATTTGTCCATGCACTGATCTTGAAGGGTTTGTGCGACGCTGGTTTGCCTTACGTGTGTACAATAGGTGCCGATCCATTATCAAATTTAGTTTGTCAAATCAATCAGCCATGACTTATTTCTGGCAATGCTATCTGTTTAATATGACGAAATAAACTTATTTCTCCCTTGGCATTTCGTTAGAATTAATCTCTTGTTTTTGACAAAGGAGTTGATTGATTGATTATATATTGTTTTACTTTCCTCTTGAGAATTTTTCACTCATATGGAGACGCCACCACTGGCCGGTGGAGAACAGCAAATTTTGTCCCATACTCGGCACTCAGTGCCATTGAGCAAGGGGGCTCTTTTTCGTGCCAGCACCTACATGTACATGTACTCGACACGGGACCTCGGTTTATACGGTCCCCACGTCCCACAGTGGGATTCGCACCCGCGACGTAAGGATCAACTCCTTACTTCACAACTCTAGAGCAGACGCTCTAACCACTGCCCCACGCGGGCGACCAAATGAGTCGAAGGAACAAGACATGAAAGTTCTTAAGCAAAATCTCAATATTTCTCTTTCACTATATTCACACAGTATAAAACAAATAGGGAAACATATTTAAGTGTTTTAATGAAATGAAGAGATAACAAACAATTTTAATATATGCCAGTCAAATGAAAGATATGAATCCTGAGCAGAGCAACACAGACCACGGAAAACATCAGATGTTGAATAAGATTCCGCAGAGAGAAAAAAATTCCTGTTGCTGGGTCCCATCCACCGTGTACTCTTTGTCATAATCGGGAAAATGAAAAAGATCGATTATCGATTCAGTATGAGAGTCAGTATATTAATGGAGAAACTATTTGTAAGACGTAAGTCATCACTTCACCAAAGTACAGTCTGTACTTACAAACAAGGCTATTTTATTATACATAGAGTTTATTTTAATTGCAAGAATGCTTACATCAAACTGATCTCATAATGGACACAATAGAGAGTTACAGAACAAATTCACATAGGGGATTATTAAATTCAGAACAAATATATGACCCTATCATTACAGGATCTTCCCAGGTATCCAGCTCTAGGCATTGGCCTTCTTCATGATAGGAAATCATGGTGGGATCAACTTGTTTGCCAGTATTCCAGTAAAAGGAGTCCTTCCCGTACGAAGGCGTTCCAGGGAGGTTGAATGATGCGCCGAGCCAGAAGAAGTCATATGAATTAACTTAAAAAGAAAAAAGGTATTTCACAAAATTCATCTTCAAAAGCTATTTACAGTCACCATTGTCTCATATCTTGAGAAAAAATGCATAGATATATAGAGGTATATCCTTTACACACGAATCACATTAATAGGGAAGAGACCACCACCACCACCACCACCCCTTCAAAATGAAGATTTTTTTTTCTTTTGAGGATTTTTTTGTATCTATTTAGAAAATGTACATACAGCTGTATTTCAAAAATTCAAGTAATCATACTTATATTAATTGATAAACGCTACATTTATATTTTTAAAATTTATGATTTTTATTCAAATGCATAAATTATAGAACTTTTAAGGATCCATGCATTTGATAAAAAAAAATAATATTTGATATCGCGATAACTTCACCTTCTATCGCGATGTAGGTTTCAAACGTTTATTAAATGGAGGCAATGTGCTACTGAATACAGTGCAAGATCAATAATTGTAGACTTTATTAAAAGATATAAACCGTTCACGGTAGCCTAGTGGTAGAGCGTTCGCTTCGTGATCGGGAGGCCCGGGTTCGAACTTTTATTCCCGGCGCCGCGTCAAACCTAAGACGTAAAAATAGGTAGCGACTGTTCCCTCGCCAAGCGCTTCGGCATCAGAAGGAAAGTCACGACTTTGTCTTTTTTTTCGGATATACCTTTAAAACGTAGGTCCCGTGTCACGGTAGGCGCTGGCACGATAAAGAACCCTCACTGCTCAATGGCCCTGAGTGCCGAGTATAGGTCTAAATTTGAAGCCCTTCACCGGCATACGGTGGCGTCTCCATATGAGTGAAAAATTCTCAAGAGGGACGTCAAAACAATATACAATCAATCAATCAATTAAAAGATATAAGATCCTTTTAAATTATCTTGCTATACATTATTATTGATGCGTACAAAAAAAATTACGACGGTTTAATCGATTTAAAATAATAAAAAAAACATATAAGAAAGTATTCTAACTAACACGTTAGTAGTTATTCGGCAAAGGGTGGTTTTTCTCATTTTTTTTATTAAACGAACTATGAAATAGTTTTCAAATTCAAACAAAATGTTAAATATCAATTTCTGAAGGTTCGGTGATATTCAACGGGAAAACTGTGGGTATCTTCTGCATTTTTAGTCATATATTGTGTTACATGTATAACAAAACATGGATTGAAACAGCGGTCATTTGAAAAAAAAATAATTTGAGGATATGTTGCACCAAGCTTGCAACTACTTAAACAATAAAATGCTTTCTTTAGTTTTTAGTACGGGGATGAATGTCGCAGCTGTTGCAGAAAAAATACATATCCCGCGTATTACAAGTTATCTTGTGTCTAGTGTCTAGTGTAGTTCATGCACTGATTTTTAAGAAATAAAGGAGGAAATATGCCGTGGATGTAAATATTTAATACTGACCGTTTTCTGTAACTGCTTGTATCTTTTCCCAAGTATCCAACACAGCTAGACGTGTCCTGTTACTAAGTGACTGACAGTAGGACTCAGCCCCCTGCCAGCTAAGGGCAGTGTAATGTGCAGAAAAGCAGAGAAGGTGCTCCTTGATCCAAATATAATTGTTCGGACAAACATCTGAAAAATGAATGATCATGTTTTTACTAAAACTACAATGACTGTTTAATCAATTATGCCATAAACTCTTGAAATAAAGCATAGAAATCATATGAAATAAACATTGGCTTTGTTCAGGATTAAAAGTTAAATAAACTAATGACCACTAATAAGACTAAGTTTTATCATTTAATTTTACTGTGAGTAGCTACGATGTAGTACACAAGGGCACTGCATCAAAATTGAACAAAAAGGATAGGAATCAGTACCGAAAAGTGAAGATAGAAGCTTCAATAAAGCTGCTTTTAAAAATTGGTAATTATAAGGATCCCAAGAAAAAGTCACTGAAATATGTGTTGTTTACAGCAACCACTGTGTGTCTTATAAACTTTTGAGCAGGGGAACTTTAATGATCAAAAATGATAAAATAGTCATCAAAGATGATTGCCGTCATTGGCAATTAGGACTATCAACAACATTAAACAAATTAATCATTTTGACTAAAAATTTAAGAATTTAGCAAATTTTGTAGGCATGTTATGGGGGGGGGGGTTGACACAGAAAATGCTTAGTAATGGTTATAACATAAAGTTTGACAATTGGATGAAAAAGCACTGTGCAAGAAAATCAGAACAAATATTTGTTTAAAAATTCCAACTTTGAGTAAACCGTGTTTAAAAATTTAAAAGGTACAGTAAATGAATGTATATTGCTTTAAACCTCGAAGAAACATTTTCAAAATAAGAAGGAAATAAGAATTTTTATTTCCATTCTTATGTCTACATGATATGTGTAGTGAGATTGAGATAAAAGATAAAGCATAGTCTGACACATCTGTTTCATACATGGATATTTTACTTGAAAATGGCATAAATGGTAATCTAACAACCAAGCTTTGTGATAAACGTGATGACTTTAGCTTTTCAATCGCGAACTTCCCTTACTTATGCAGCCATATACCTTGGTCACCTGCATATTAATTAAGTTTATATCGCTCAGTTGCTTCGATACGGAAGAGCATGTTCTATTTATGAACAATTTCTAAATCAAGTTACGTTAATGAAAAACAAGCTGATGAAGCAAGAATATCAGCAGTCTCGTTCAAGTCATAATTTTGTAAGTTGTATTGTCGAAATAGAGTCCTTGTCAGTAAATATAATTTTCTTTAAGTCAAATGCAATGCAATTAAATTTATTTATATACTGAGTTGTCTACGGATTTTCCCGTTATTTCCTGATCATGACAAGGAGCACACGGAGGGTGTGACTGGTAGGCAGGGGATGCTCACTCCTCCATGGCACCTGATCCCATCTCTGATGTATTGGAGGTTCATGTTTGTTCGCCCCCGATTTGTATTGTTAAACTGGATTTTGAGTCGAATTCTGTTCGTTTTCTCAATGTGTTTCATTTTAAGATATACTCACAGTAATGTTGTTTGTTGCAGAAAGATTCGCCACTGCTAAGAAGCACACACTCACCATCACAAGATGATGAAATACAAACCGATCCAAGGCCCTATTAAATTTATAAAAATAAAGCACGCTAATTAGAACACGTAGAATGAAAGTTGCAAAGCATGTCGACCTTAATCTTTATAAACACGATATTCTCTTAATGAAATGTGGCGAAAACTAACAGTATTTCAGCCCAAAGTTAAATTAAACATTACAGACGAGGATTACAGAGCAAAGCAAAATCATGTTTTGATCTTTTTTTAACCATTTTTTCTGACAATAAATCATTTTGTTATTTATAGAACATTTAGACATTATCAAAGAAGGCATATCGTGACCCACTCTAATCAACGAACGTATTGGAACTTAAAATTTGTTTCGATGTATTTTTCTCTTCAATATATTGCAGATCTTACACATATGCCTATTCTAAGTTTGATATACTGTAAATATATATAATGAGTGTTGAGAGACAAAATGTTAATAAAATGAAATACATGTATTCAAGCTTAATGGTAGTGTACCTGTTTGCAAAAAACACAAACATTTAGAATAAATAACATATATGTAAGTGGATAGTCTAAGTATTTTTTTTATGTTATTTCTAACGGGGGTTTCGCACATTAAAGGTACTCCGATCCTATGTCAGGAAGAATTACTCTTTAATTACTTAATTTAGAAAGCCTAAAATGAAGCATGAAAATCAATTCTTTTCATGCAACAATTTTCATTCTTTATCTCTAAATATGTTTCAAGGTTCTTTCAAGTTCTCACAAAGGTCTTCTAAAAAGTCGGATTTTTAAAAGTTTTTATTTTTTCAAAAACTAACGATAGATACCAATGTTTATTAAAATGATATGAAACAATAATTGTTTATGGTTTTTTGCAATGATAGAATTTTTTTTTATACACTATTGCATTGTAAAATGATCGAAGTAAAGAGAAGAAAATAAAGTACTCTATGTGGGAAAACCACATTACTTTGAGAATTAAGAGACATTTTGAATTACTCAGTGCCTGGTTTTCAGATCCTAAGGATCGGAGTACTTTAAATTCAGCTGAAGTACACGTTTAAACATTATTCGTAACGTCACCATCATCATCGTCCTTTACACCCTAAATGTATGGTGTCTAGGGCAGAAATATTTATAACATAAATACCTCTTTAAAAAAGATTTTAAAATGTCAAGTGAATGTTCTACTGACCATTTCCTGGGAATCCATTTCTATGTAATCACATTCAGCATTCGTCACAAGAGAAATCCCCTCGTCCCCATATTTTGCTAGGATGATCTCACAAAGTAGTTGTTGTCGTTTATAGTTTACAGATTGACATTGGCGATTCTGAAGACATTTTCTGACACACTGTTTTTGTCCTATTGGCTTTAAGATCTGAACGATATGTCGGTCTGCCACGAGACATTGTCCTGCTGCCGTCACGTGTACCTGGGCAATAGTGTTTTGTCGTAAAATAATGCACTCCAGGAAACAGTAAATTGAAATTATATATCTTCGCATTTTAGTCCTATTACTTCAAGAGAAATTCATGAGAAGTTGAAATTTTAGGTACACGATCGTTTTAAATAGGAGTGAATCTTTGTTACAGAAGCAATTCTGCAGCAATGATAACGGTATCAAAGCAAAGAAAAAACCGCTGATGGCACTCGGTGTAACAAATAATCGATGCTGAAAGTATATTTTTCATTTATATGTCAGTAATATTTGAGGAACATTGATGGGACATGAAAACTCAATTACAATATTAATTAACTAAAATTTGATTATATTTCAACTTCTTATTATTAATTTCCATTTTCCAAATATTTTTTAATTATTATTCTCTGGATCTCTGATTTTACGAAAGATTATTAATGACTTTATTCGCTTTTCGTTCTAATTCTGTAACTTCTACAGGTAGGATATATGGTTCTTCACTAAAAAAAAATTGATTCACTTTGTAAACAATGTTTTGTTTGATTTTTTCATTTGAAAATAGTTACATCCGCTGAATATTTTCTTTATTTCTTAAGAAAACCCATTGCGTTAATCACTGCATGAACTACAGTCGGTATGTCGCCTGTACAGATTTCTTGATCAGTGGCTGTTCCATCAATGAAACGTATAAAGACGTTCGCATCATTAATACAATAATTAATCTTTTTAGTCCTACTTTAAATGATAATTTAAACAGATATAAATATAAACAATAAAATGTCTTTCTTTGTTATTACTGGAATTAACGGTCGCAGCTATTGCAGAGAAAATTTACATAACCCGCTTACGCGGGTTATGTATTTTTTCTGCAATGTTCAGCTGCTTCCGTTAATTCCAGTAACAACAAACAAAGAAAGCATTTTATTTTATTATACTTTCATGTTAAATACTAAAATCTGATTGGTTTAGACGCAGTTAACAATCCGTTCTATTACCCTCAGCCTTAGCAACGCATGTGACAACGGGTAACACAACGGTAATGCCACATGCGTGGATATTATGCGCGTACGGTTCACCGTAGAATTCTCGAAATGTCAGTTGCGCGTTTGAAAGAACTATATATTGACGTCAATAAAAGCTTGCGTCCGATGTAGCTTACTTGAAAACAACAAACGACAGACGAAACATGCTTGCGAGTGCAGAAATAACGAAACTTTATATGATAAAATACTCTTAGAGTATCAAACAAACAATAAAAAGGTCAGTAAATCTTTTTAGAAGTAGCGAAGAGTTTGAAAGCTTTCTAAACGTGAACGTAAGGATGATCGACGATTTTTTTTTTGCTGACTTAATTTAAGAAGACATTCAGTATAATAAAATAAATGGTGCCTGTTTTGGAGGGTAACAGTTGAAATTGACACCCCTCGGAAAACCATTGTCAACCTCCGCTGACGCGTCGGTTGACAATGGTTTTCCTTGGGGTGTCAATTTCAACTGTTACCCTCCAAAACAGGCACCATTTATATAGTGTAAGTCACCATTTGAATCTATAAATTCAGATAAATTACAATACATGAAATATAATAAATGTAGACGGAGATAAATAAAATTTAATGAATTCTGAATTTATTTTAAATTCGCACACAAAAGTTTTACTTATAACATTTATTTATGTATAAAAGCTGTTTTGTCCTTTACATAGATTTTACCCGTGTAAAGATACAAAAATTGTCTTTAGATTGTTTAATAGTCTATGAAAATGATAAAAAATACCATTATTCTAATAGCATGCATTATGGTAAGTATATATTATACTTTCTATATACGGAGTTACAACGTACTACTTTTGTATTAATTAAACTGTTCGAAGACAAAGTGCACAGTTAAAAACTATATACTGTCGAGATCTTGCTCTATATAGCATTTGTGTCTTCTTCAAAGGATGAAAATTTCTATTGTTATGTTTGTTATATTGCTAGGGGTTGTGAAATGTTACACTCATGAATGATTAAACTACTTGTAGCTTTGTATTCAAAAATAAAACATGCTTTGTAACGTGTTAATAACAATGTGTATAATTCAAATAACACGCGTTCAGTGCTTCAATACAAATATAATGAGTTTGTAGCAGAAAAGAAAACATGCAATTCAAAAATGCAAACAATTTATTGAAAAGTATTAAGGATGTAATGTGGTTAAAAGAATGAACGATGTATCTACATACCATAAAAGAAATAATTATGCAGTGTATTCCTGTAGATGAGATCTCAATTTTAAGTTCGATTGAAAGGTTGGAATTCGATTTCAAACACTTCCTGTTCAATAATTCATTACTCATTTCTACTTGTTCTGCAGTATGGAAAAAGATGTAACTGTTACGTCATGATAAGCCTTAGCGGCATTAACCTAAGAACACCCCGCACGCCCCATACAATTCGATGCAAAGCATCTTAATCTAATTTCTTATGAGACTGAACACAAGCTAATAATAAATATCCTTAAAACACACAAGTACAAGGGAACAATTTCATTGTTCATCAAAAGTTCTTTCTAGTGAATTTCGTTCCATTTGTATTACATGTAACAAAAGGATTTTCAACATTGAATTTATTAAATGACCATTGTCATTCATCTTAATTTAAAAGCTAAATCCAGACAGTGTAATTTACGACAGATACGTGGGAGGAAAGTATTTCCATATCCATTCAATATGGAAGTTTCTAAAAAATTATACATGTATTAAAAACGTTCATTACTGCATACATGAACTTTAAACATATAAGAATAAATGACTTATGACACTTTTTTTCAGAGATCAACAATATTTTTCATAGATTAATATTCAAATGGAGACCTTAATATTTCTTTTTCCAGGAAAAGGGGGAGAAAATCTGTAAGATTTTGTCACAATGTCCAAAATATGTGCAATTTTTTTTATAGAGAATTGTTAAGGAAATGAAACAAAGTCGTATATCTAAGCACCGAAGAAAACTTACGATTTATTTAAGGTGGAATGCCACACCAACTTTTTATTTTATAGATCTTTGAGTCATCCTTTTTAAACAATGGTTTCAGCATTGAAATGCCGATAATAGCTCTTAATTATTTTGCATTAATTTTTTTGTATTTTTTCAAAGAAAATGAAAAAATTATTTATATCCAAATAAGTTGTTTTCGAGTTAAAAGTTTGCTGTAAATGAATGCATCATATGAATATCTTAAAATATGTAAAGAAAGGCTGGTTAGACTTTTTAAATTTTTTTTTTATAAGAAATTATTTATGAAAATAAAACACATATTTTGTTAATATTTTTTAAACCTATGGTTAAAAACACCATAAAACTAGTCACAACTAAGTACAACATGTTTGTCAATCATATTTTTAAAAGAAATTGAAACGAAATTGAGAAATTTTAGAGAAATTAATTTTTTGGACCTAACCCGATCAAAATTAAACTGATCCCGATCAAAATTAACACAAAATGAATAAAATGCTAATTTATTGCCTCTTCATGTATTTACAATGAAGAAACCATTTTATTGTCAGGTTCAATAATGTTTTAACCCTTATATCACCTAATCAGACTAGTGTTCTTGGGGAAATGTTATTTATTTCTAATAATTATGGTTGGGATCGGTTTAATTTTGATCGGGATTGGCCAAAATTAAAAAGAATTAATTTCTCTAAAATTTGGCTATTTTGTTTCAATTTCTTTTATAGATATAATTAATGAACATGTTCTCCCCAGTTGTGACTGGGTTTAAGAAGATTTTAACCACAAGTTTAAAAAATATTCACAAATTATGTGCTTTGTTTTCATAAATATTTTTTATTTAAAAAAATTTAATATCTATACGGCTTTTCTTTACATATTTTATTAGGTATTCATGTGATACATTCATTTACAGCAGAACTTTTACAAGAAAGCATCTAATTTGGATGTAAATAATTTTTTTGAATTTTCTTTGAAAAAAAAAAAAAAAAAAAAAAAAAATTCATATAAAATAATTAAAAGCTAATGTCGGCCTTTCAATGCTGAAACCATTGTTTAAAAAGGTTGACTCAGAGAATAATTAAAAATAAAAAGTTGGTGTGGCATTCCTCCTTAAATATTTGGGGTTGATTATTTATGTCATTTACATTAATTCATAATCCGTCAAAAAAGTTATTCCTTTCCATGCATCGATTGCGTGTGTGAGGGAGGGAGGGTGTAAGTGAGAGGGTGAGAGAGAGAGAGAGAGAGAGAGAGAGAGAGAGAGAGAGAGAGAGAGAGAGAGAGAGAGAGAACGAGAGACACACACAGAGAGAGGGTGGTTGTGTTATTCATAACTATTATTATATACCTAATGTGTATCACCCAATTTTACTGTTGAATTTACGCTATCACGTGACGTCGTAATCCGATTTTCCGGATCACCAACATGTTGTTTTCTGAATCCATATCACCACTCTCTGAAACTGATGACGTAGTACGCAGAAATATGACGTTATTTTTCTTGCGCGTTAAAAAGTCCCTTGTAATTATGCTTTGTTTAATGGATTTATATTGTACAATTGATCTCTAAAGGTTTATTCTAATATATTTAGCCAGTTATAAGGGGGTATATAATAAATTTATCATTATAACAGTTACTTGATCCGAAGAGCCATATCACGTCTCGTTGACAGGCGCAGATCATCAGATCAAACTCGACGCTTCGCGTCTCGTTTGATCTGATGATCCGCGCCTGTCAACTCGACGTGATACGACCCTTCGGATCAAGTTACTGTTATAATAATATATATATATATATATCGCCCCAAATCAAATTTCGATCAAAATCGTTTGAAACACATACTGCATTTAAACAATGTTATCAGCTACTTCATATAGAAGATCATAAGCTACGGAAATTTTTATCTACTGTTTTAAGGATATCAGTATATAAATTAATACATCTAGTCTGTGTCATCAGGAAATATAGGAGAATGTTTTAAACTTCATAATTTATGAAGTGGTATTGCTTGTATTAATTAAAATGAGGATGCATATGGAATATAAAAATTGGCAAAAAATCCTCTTTTACATCATACTTTTAATGAATTATATTGTTATTTGTATGATTTTAAGAAAATACGACGAACACACCGTTAGTATTATTTCAAATAATAAATTCACAAACAGCTGCCATACTAAACTCATA